GCTTCGCAAGGACCCGAAGCCTAGAGACTTTATAAAATAGTGAAAATGCTCTAGATCAAAATATGTCGGCTACGACTGCGTCCATGACGCCATCGACGACGACGAATGAGTCCCCCGGCGCAGGCTGCAAATGGTTAGCGTTAAGACCTTTGAGGGTACGGATGAAGAGAATCACCTGCTCAGGTTGAGAGACCACGATGGTTATTGCATCCGCCATGCGCCAGAACGAGCAGCAGCGCGTGCCACAAGCTATCCCCAAGATCGGAGCTGACGTGCAGTACATCGGTTAAAGTGGCGTTCCCCCCCCTACATGGAGCTAAACCTGCAGCTTTTGCAAGTGTTCTCGCCGCCTAACTAGGTATATCGCGTGCGATCGCGTTTCTCTGCAGCCCGACAGGGCAAGAAGGAGTTGGTGGACTTTGCCAAAGAGATGCGTACTCTCATTGCCGGGATGGCAGCCGATCCTCTACCCTAGGCGGTCACAGTGACCGTCTTTATGGAGGGTCTCCGCAGTGGCGTGGCCAGAATGAAAGGCTTCCGTGTGCGTCCGTCTTCTTTTAAATACGAAGTGAAAGTGGCATTAGATGCCAATCTCAGATTTGAGTCGGCACGACTTGGTTGGGGTGAATACACTAGCAGCTCGCCGAGTGGGCCTGAGCCAATGGATCATATCTATGCCGAAGACAAGGATGTAGAGCTCCGAGCTGCCGATCAGCGTTCGAAATCCGACAGTGTTTTATCAGTGAAGACACTTGACACCTGCGAACTGGTTGTCCCCTGCGCAATGCGCGTCAAGGTTAATCGAGCCGACGTCCCGCTTCTCACCAGTCTTCTAGCTTTTCGCAAGAAAGACGACAACACCCAGTAGACGCGAAGCGCCCTATTGAAGAAAGACTGAACTTTGTTGAGCCTCAAAGTCAGCAGGGCCCAGCCCTGAAATGCTCCGTATTCTTGAACACGGAACGTGTATGCAAGCCGGCTTGCTGGTCGTGAAAGCAACCGTGGAGGGCTTTGAGAAGCCATGGAAGACCCTGATCAATTCCGGGGCGTCGGACAATCATGCTCGACGCTCCACGATGGAAGGAAGTCAGCTTTATGCGGAGGCGCTGGAGGAGTGGTTGATTGACATCGTCACTGTTCGCTTGGCGACGGGGATATGTGCCACGGTGCCAAGGTCCCTGTGGACCTTGGTAACAAGTTTCTTGACTTTGATAGCGTGGGACGCTTCCTAGTCTTAGACTTGGATACAAGATACGACCTTATTCTTGGTATGGCATGGTTGGAACACCATGAGCCATTTATCGATTGGAGGTCGAAGACCTAAGGTGTCACGCGCACGTCGTCTGGTGGAGGTATGGTAAGCCATAAACCCACCTCTGCTAAGAAGCAGAAGCGCTTTTGGGCGCGGGTACTGGACCGAGTAGGTCAATGTGCTGGATATCGGAGTATCCGAGTTGTCAACGGTGTATCGGACAGGAGTCTCGAGCATGGCTCGCGGGCTGGATGTGGAGTGGCACGTAACCCACTGAGCGCTGCTCAACTATTGGATCACTTGGTGCATGCCAAGAGTGGCATGGTGGAACGAGGTCCGGGGAATCGAGGGCAAGGCCTCAGTGATGCGCGTGGCGTGGCACAAAATCCACTAATCACGGCTCACGTTTCATAGCAGTTGCTGAATACCAAGAGTGGTATAGTCGGTCGAGGTCCGAGGCATCTTGGGCAAGGCCTTACTCATGTGCGTGGAGTGGCATGTAATCCACTGGACGAATACTGCGGAAATAGCAGCTCTTCGTCGGATGTTGTTAATAACATCGAGGCTCCGTTGGAGCAGGGAGTGGAGACATTGGACGACGCCGAGTGCGTGTTCCCACTGGTCTCAACGAGACGTAAAACCTTTATACAGAAGAGACGGCGAGGCAGTATATTATCTGCAAGACATTTGTGGATATTCACAATTTCAATTAAGAAAGTGTAACTGTGTTACACGTACCCTGGTATGAAAGGGTGGGTCGCACAAGATTGTGTGACCATACATAGGTGTGAATTACACAAGTTGGTGTAATCACACAGCGGTGTGGCTACACCGTAGCATGAAGCCAGTACGTGGCGGAACTGCCAGTAGTAATGCATATTAATTAGGTTTTACTATATTGATTAGGTATTACTATATTAATTAAGAAAATCTAAGTCCTTAAATATTGGCGGCCCTGCCGTAAATAAAACAGATAGGAGGCTCTGCCGTGAATAAAACAGGTAATACAGTTTCAATCTTGAACGGAAGAGTACATTTGCCTTAGGTTAAGATTTTGGGTACTCTTGTAGGTAGCGGATTGCGATCTGCTACAATTTAGTATAAGACAAAAATCGGTGACGTTTAGTAAGCTTCCTCTCAACAAAGAGCTACGGCAGCCCGCTGCAACTCCGAGCAAATATATTGTCATACTAGGTTTGCACATTGTCTGAATATGACCTTAACAGCTGCGTCATGACCCAATTAAATGTCGCCGGTGCGTTGGTCAATCTATGTGGCATAATTACAATCTTCCAAGAAAATTTCACTTAGATTATTTATCACAATGAGTAATATCACTGTCTGTTATCAGCAGTGGAGAATATTCATTAGCCCAATCATGGACACTGAACAAAGCGCAGTTGATCAGGCTGTTCTGCAGCACATCCTTACGAAGAATAGGCATTTGCGGAGGAATTGTGGTTGTATTAAGCCATTCCTAATCTGCCACTTGTCGTTAGCCTTTCCGGGACAACAACTTGGCGTCGAGTGTGGTGATTCACATCCACTCACCAAACCCGCTTTGTGCTTGAATGGAAAAAGCATCAGCGACGCCACATTCTTCCTTTGATAAGGAGTACTGTCGTGTGTATCGTATTTGGCTTCGAAAATTAGTTCAGCTTTCTCACGCACTTCCCAATCCGGACGCAATGCGCGTGGCAAGTCTTTCATCATCACGTCGCCACATTTCTTCAAGCGAAGAATTGTCCGCCAACGATATCTGCAGCGGGACTGCCGTAGCTTTGCGCTTTGAGGAAGCGTAAGAAAGTTCACCGATCTCTCGTTGTATACTCAGAACAAGTACGACTTTAGCGGATCGCAGTCATCGTACTCCAAGAGTTATTATAGCCTTAACCCAAGGCTAATTAACTTTTACGTTTAAATTCAAAACTGACTTTATCTATTCTATCTGCGGCAAAGGCGCCAAATTTTAAATGCACAGATTCTCCTTAACATATATAGAGAAATCTAAAACATGTATAACTACTGGCTATCAAGCCCCGCTCCGTATTCTTGTTTGGGTGTGGTCACACCATGCCCATCTAGTATGACACACACCCCTGTTACCAGGGTATGTGAAACCCCGTTACAATCTCCCCCATTAAGTTTGAGAACATTTGCAGTTCCAATCGATTATTTCCTCAGCGAGGCTTACGTGTCCGTTAGACACTGCGTTGGAACAAAACGATTTCCGTGCTGAATGAGCTTTGTGTTAATGACACCATAATCTC